AGGTGGCAGAGATTTGCTGACATGTCACTTTAGTAATAAACTCCTCTTTCAGAAACGTGCCATCGCCAGCAAAGCCATCGGCTCGTGAGCTACAAACCCTGCACGTGGGGCTCCTGCAGCCTCTCCCACGGGGCATCCCCAGGAATGTGGGCACAAAACCCTGGCCAGAAAGGAGGACCCGAGAAGGGGAGACAGGCAGGGGTGAAGTGGCACCGTGAAGGATGCAGGAGAACACGCTCTGCTCCTTCCTCACCTTAATACAGGAGGGGTCACAGCAGCCCTGAATTTATTCCCTAAACCTCAGGATGAAAAGAAGAGAGGTTTGAAGAAGGGCAAAGGTGGTGAATGCTGGAGAATTGGGGGAATTAACTTGGGTTAAGACATGAGTGTGCAGCTTAGCTCCATCCTCACCCCATCCCCACAGGACTGCTGGAAGCTGCTCCCAGCCCATCCCAGGTGCTCAGAATTCCTTTACTGCTCAGGAACTGAGAAAAACAAAGGTGTGAAACCTTGGCCTCTACAAGCCCCTGCTATATTCCCCCACTTTGAGCTTGGGAAGCAGGCAGGGAGTTGGGAAGTACACAGGCAAGCAACGAGGAGTCTCTGAAATAAATAACTGCAGCAGGGTGAAAACTACCAGGCACTGGGCTTGGATACCATTGGAATGGGATGACTTTTCCACAGGTGTGAGCCCTGGAGGGGCAGATGAGCACTGATCTGGAAATAAGGAATGTGGTGGTTGTGCAGGGAAGGGGGGAGTTGGCTGGGCAGGGCAGGAGATGGGAACACCTGACTTGGAGTGTTCTCAGCTGGTGGGACAGGGCGGACAAGCAGCACTCCCTCCATGGGGTTATTGCAGCTCACAGTGGGAGTGGGAGCCTGGAGCAACATGGACACAGAGCTGGGCAGCCACCAGAGGAGGTTTAGCAATCAGGGCTGGCCCCTTTCATCATCATCCTCTGCCCTGTCTGGCTGTTGTTACTCACACCAGGAGCCCAGCACCGTGCTGGGCACTGCTCTTTGAGCCCCCCTGAACCCCCCGAGGCTTTCCCAGGCACAGACAGCCTGGAATGGGCTCCCCTGCCTCCTCCCCCCGCAGGATTTCTGCACTCATTGACTGCAAATCACAAAGGCAGCTTCCCAAAACCTCAGCGAGGATCACCTCCCTCAAACCCTGGCAGGAGCAGCACTGGGGGAGAGACAGAGGCTGCCCCAGGAGCTGGGTGCTGGAACACACCACATTTACCCACTGGAGACCATTCCTATGTTTCTATTACACAATAAAAACACAGCAAGGCAAATTCCTGTGAATAAAGGGGAGAAGATGGGGCAGCAAAAAGTCAAAGAAAACAGACCCATCTCTGAAAAATAGTCTTTTCTGCTTAGCAAACAAGCACTTTCTGTTTGCACCCATCAAACAAGCATGCTTGATTTTGTTTTGTTTCACAGCCAAGTCATCATTTCTCCAAAATTATTTCAAGAGCACAACAGGGGCCAAATAAATTTGCAAAACAGGCTTAGGTAAAGAATGACAGAGCCCAGTGGCAAAGCTCACAGCCCTTTTCAAAGCCTGAGTGGAAACCACGGGAAACATCAGGGTTAAAAAAAGCTTTGCCTCATGTTTAACTCAAATTTGACTTTTAGTGCTGGAATCAAAGAAGGGAACAAATGAAGGCATTGCATCACCCTGCCAAGGAAACCAGAGGAGATGGAGAGAGCAGCACAGGAGGGTTCGGGGGGACACCATGCAGGCGCCTGTGCTGCTGATGGGAACGTCAGAGCCTCGCCATGGGAAGTGCTGACTGATGCCAATTAAAGTGAAATCATAATCAAGCCATTTGTTTTGGGGCCGAGAGAGCTGCTCCAAAGGTCTCAGCAATGCCTGGACTCGGTTCAAGCACTGCATGGAAGTTCAGGATGGAAGTTCAGTTCCTCTCCAGCATGAACTGCTCGCTGCTGGTGAGGGCAGAGCTGTCTGGACACGGTGGGAGGGGATGAAGATCAGCCTCATCCTCACAATCTGGGCTTGGCGACATAAGGAAGGACAGAAAACTCCGACTTTCACCCGCACACAATTTCCCATTGCAACCCCGAAGGCAGGACCAACACACCCATCAGTAAAAACACTGTGCTGTTGGACACTATCTTCAAATCCTTTCCTTATTCCCACGGGCTTTGCTGCATCCAAGAATAAATCTTACCCCTCCTATCCCAGGCAGCAGCTCTAACCCAACCTCTAAAGCTTGATTTAAATTTAATACAGTGATCTAAAGTGCTGGTACCCACAACATGCCTGTACCCTCCAGCAGAAACATCATGAGACAGAAGGAAATATTTGAACATCGTCCATGTCTCTGGTCCTAAACTGATTCCTTACAGTGGATTGTACAGAGCAAAGCCTTTACAACAGAGAAGTCTCCTTGCAGCTTTCAGTCCAGCTTTTTTTCCAGCACTGAATTCACTCTGCTTGGAGGGACAGAGCTGAAAAGAGCCTCTTGGCAGGGCACTGCTGCTCAACAGCAGCTCGGGCTCCTCAGCACCTGCCACCCCAATAAAATAACCAATTTCCAGCAGCCAAAGCCTCTCCTTTGGGAAGAGGGGGGACAGGACTTTGCAAGTGCTCCAGAAAAGCAGCAACTTCTGCTGTTTTCAGCTTGCCCTTCCCTTTTGGCATCTGTGAAACACCAAGAAGGGACCTCTGGAAACATCTCTCCTTCCAAATCCTTGGCTGCAGCTCCCCATCCTCCCACCTTGCATGGAAATGAGTGAGATTGGATTAGACCTGATCTTTTTTTTTTTTTTCCCCTCACTGCCACCCATGCAGGGCTGGGCAGGAGGTGGCCGGGAGCATCGCTGGGGCCCGGCAGAGCCTTTGTAGCAGCATTGCTATTCTGCACAAGTTAACTCCTCCACAACAGATCGATGGGCACGCCGGGCTGGGAGGGGAGCAGGCAGGAAGATTCATGCTGCCTTGATTTCCTCTGGTTTTCTTTGCTCCTCCTGGCTCCTGCCATGGCACAGCACAGTGGGACTGAGCAGGGGATGCAGCAATGTCCCACTGCCTGCTGGGCCAACTGCTCCCGCCTCAAACCAGCAGGAAAACACCTCCAAATGCCCAGCAAAACCACACTCCTGCACCTCTCTGTCACCACAGCAGAGCACTGAGCTGGTGGTGGCAGCAAGCCTTTAATTCCAAGAGCAATCCCTGCTCCAGGTGCAGGACAGCAGGAATATCATCGGCACAGTGGGAACAGCATCTGCACAGGCTGCACATCCCAAAGCCCGTGTGCCCCTCTCCTGGGACACGCCTGTATTGATGAGGCACCTAGCAAGGGACATGGACATCCCTTGCCACCAGACTGGCTCCCAGCTCTACTGGGATGCACCTGTGGCAGCTCTGGGTTGATGACACATTGCTGTCCTCCCTCCCTCCCCAGAGCCACCTCCTAGGGGCAGGATTTGTCCCCCTTCCCATGAAGCCTCCCTGATAGAGGAATCCCTCCTGCTGACTCACCCAAGCTTCCCTTTGTTCTCCTCCAATGCCAGCGACCACCCAGTGCCAGGGCAGAGCACCTCGATCCGTGGTGTGGATCAAGATCCCTGCTCTGTGCCCAAAACCCCGTGCAGGCCCTCACCAGAGCCTCTTCCCTTAAGTTTGCAGAGCACCCACCCAGCTGCCACCCCCGTGTGTTTCACTGCCCAGACCCCCCGTAACCCAAACCCCTCCCGTTTTGATAGCAGCATCTGGAGGATTTTTTGGCACTTGGGAGAACACAGCAATTCAGGTAAGAAAAGAAGCTACTACTTTTTTAAGCCAAGCTCAAATTCCTAAGCAAGACACTCTGTCCTCCACCCCCTGCCACTCGATTTCCAGCCTCTTTGCCCAGCCGTGCCATGACGCAAGACAAATCCAGAGGAACGGCCACAACACAGCTCCCACCCTCCCACGAGCACTCGGGGGCTGTGGGGGGACACAAGATTTGACTGCAAACAACTGAGTTGCAGGAAAATTCCCTCTGAAATTTCTCCCGGGGCTTTTTTTTCTGCCCTGGCTTGGCCCTTCTCCACTGGCTGGTGTAAAGCAGCAGCGCGGTGTCACTGCACACACCCAGCTGGCCCCGCAGATGTTGGTGTCACCTATGCAATGCTCCGGAGGAGCAAAGTCGCTCCCGAGCATGCCGGAGTTGCAAGCACCGTTTCCCAGCGCTGCAATTAAAACCTGGCTTTTGATTTTTAATGTCCCTATCAAGCATCCTCTGGGATGACTGCGCCCATCTGCTGTGAGGACAGGGATTAGTGTCTGGGCATAAAATGTCCCAGAAATTATGCTGAGCAAAATTACGGATTCCTTGGCAGCCCCTGAACCCCTCGGATCGCTGCTGCAGGAGACAGGACCCTGGTGCAACGCCCAGCCCCCATCTCTCCCCTTTCCAAAGAGGGAAAGACGCCAGGGAGCAGCAACCCCTCGCCTCTGGAGCAAGGGGATTTTTAAGGAGCGGAGCATCCACCTGCCCGGAGCCAGCTCCATCCCGCACTTCCCTATTCCAGCGGGTCTGGAGCTGAGAAAAAGGCACAAAGCCACACCAGGGGGTCAACAGCTCCCCCTTTTCCCAGGCTGGGGCGGTCTGATACGGATGAAGACACCCCGGGCACTGCGCTCCAGGAGCAGAGCAGGATTTATCTGCACCGAACGCAGCCGAAGTGCCCGAGCCGTGGCACCGACAGCAGCAATTGAGAACCTGCCTCGTACTGCTGTGGGGCAGGGTGCCAAAAGGGAATCACAGTCCCTTATTTTTCATCCCCCAGCAACTTTCCCGAAGACAACTGGGAGGGCTGAGCCCAAGCCCAGTCCCCTGGCACTCCAATCTCTCAGCTCGCTGCCCGGTACCGCCACAACCGGCACGGCGCATCCCCCGCGGGGAAACTGAGTCACGTCCCCAAAGTCACCGGGCCAGCAGGACCCCCCGGCCCCCCCAAGGCCCCAGCCCAGCTGCTCCTACCTGAGCGTGGCGCTCTCCCCTTGCCGCACTGTCACGTTGTCCATGGCTTTGGGGAAGGTGGCATCTCCGCTGCGCACGGGCACTCCTGCGGGCACAAGGAAGAGCAGCCTGAGACAGAGGACGACCAGGCACCTCCAGGGCAGGGCCAAGCACCCACCGACCCCCATCCTGGGCAGCGGGGACTTTTCCAACAGGCAAAAAACACACCCGACAAGGCGAAAAGGGGGAAGGGGTGGGTGGAGAGGAGGGATGGGGGGGAGCAAAACCACCGGGGCGAGCGCTGCGGAGCTCCACGGAGATCAGGAGAGCCCCCGGCAAGGCTGGCTGCGAGCGCTGAGCCTGCCGAGCGGCATCGGAGGGAGTCCCGCTGTCCTCGGGCGAGGGAGGAGGACGGGAGGGCCGGGGGGAGGAGGAGGAAGAGGAGGAGGAGAAGTGGCAAAGGTGCTGGGCGAGCCGGTTCTTCGGGCAGCAGTCCGAGGCTCACTTGGGCGAGGATGCGCCGGGGGGGCCCGGCTGTACCCCAGTCCCGCACGCTTGTCCCGAGGCGGGGCCAGTCCAAAAACCAGTAAAAACCCCAAAAAACACCCCCGAGGCGAACTAGCAAAGGTGTCCAGACGCAAGAAGGCACAGCGGGCAAAAGCCTTCGGGATGCCCTGCAGCTCCTCTCCTCCCGCCCCGCTGCCGGGGGGCTGATCCAGGCGGGATGCAGGATGCCGGGATGCAGGATGGGGATGAGAGCACGGCGGGATGCAGAACACGGGGATGTCAGGGCTGCCGGAGCCCCTGGCTGGCCTCAACGGCGGGCGGGAGGGGCGCGGGGGGGCGGCGGCAGCACCCCGGCCCCGGCCGGCAGCATCCCCGGGGTTGTCATGGCAGCGGCTCCAGCGCTGCCCGGCGCCTCGGCTCCCGCACGGCCCGAGCCCCGCACACGGGCGGGCGGGCGGGCGGCAGCGGGGCGGGATGCGCAGGAGGACACGCACATTAACCCCCGCCGCGCCGCGCTCTTCGGGGCCATGGCAAGACCCCCCCGTCCTTTATCCTCTCTCCCCCGGCGCTTACCTGCGTCCCGCAGCCAGCACCGCACAACTCCCCCCTTTGCCCTCCTCTACCTCTGCGCCTTCCCCATCCCAGGCGGCAAAGTCACTGTGCAGGAGGGGAAACTGAGGCACGGGTAATATCCCCCCCCCTTCTCCCCAGCCAGGTGATGATGAGGAGAGGCAGGAGCGTGTCCTCCTGGTCCCCTGCACCTCACAGGCACAGCGTGAGCTTAAGTGGCAAATTCCTCCCCAGCCGCAAGCACGGTCCCCGCGTACTTTTTATCAGCTCATAATTTAACAAATATCACATTTGCTTATGCCGAGTAATTCCTCCTTCCCTCCGCTAGTGGCTAAACACATTAATATTTCCAGGCACAGTTCCATGCTGGTAAAAAGGTGCCGGGGAGCATCCTCAGAGCGGAGTCTTGGAGGCAGCAGCCACCTCACGGCTTTCGGGGTGCTGCACCCCTCAAACCCCTCAGCTGCTGCAGCCCAGCCAGGTCTCCACCCTTGATTTTTGGTATCCAAAAATCCTCCCTCCATTCCCCCACCGTGTGCCCGGCAGGTTTTGCACGGCACTAACGTGAGGTGGTTAATTTTGTTGTTGTTTTTGAGTTCGCTGCTGGCAACCTGAGCTGGAGTCAGACTGGTGACCTAGATGTGAAAGGATCCATAGCCCGTTACTAATCCCTGGAGTCTCCGAATCCCCTGTAAACTACTGCTTAATTCACTAACTGTGCTATTTAATCTCTAAAACATTATGAGCTGTGCCGGGCAGAGGAAACACTCCATCAAATAAAGCTTTATTATTATTGTGCATGCTGACTGGTCATACGAGAAGGGGATTGCTCTGCAAGTCTCTCTACTTTTTTCTTGTCTGAAGGTTCTCTGCTCCTTGAATTTAGCGCTGGTGGGACGTGCTGCCTCGAGCCCTGTGTTTTCCCAGAGGAACGGCAGCTTTCCCCAGCTCTTGGCAGAAGGACTTGAATCCCTGCAGTGAACTCGGCTGTCAGAACTGGCAGCGGAGTGGGGAACGCTGCATTCAGCGCATCCTTTGGGGCCACAAATGACATGGGAGGGGTCTCTGAAACATCACTGCATAAGGAGAGACGGTCAGAGGCAGGGGAAAACACTCTGTCCGGGGTTGTGTCATTGCACCGGGGTGTACAAGATGCCAAAGAATAAAACGCAGCAATCCTGCTGACTGCTGCGGCATCCAGGCACCCCTGGCAGGACGGGGACCCCGCTGGGCTACCTGCAGGACCATCACACAAGAGCTTGCTCTTTCTGGGGCCGCTCCTTTGAATGGGCAGAGACCAACTCCTGTGTCAGCAAAAGCAGAAGGATTCCAATAACCACAGCCAGTTAACCTTCTAACACGGAATTCAGCCTCGGATCGCCAGGAGCATCTTAAATTACGAGCAAAAAACCACCTCCCTGCACTGAAAGCATGCGAGGCTGGGGCAGATGTGACCTGCAGAGCTGTTTCAGCCCTTGCCAGGGCTGAATTTGGCCCACTGTTAGGAGATCATCAGCAGCATTGTTTGAAAATCCCAAGGAATTTACATCCAATATGCTCCTGCATACTAAAGCCCGGCAGAATCCCTGGTCTCCCTCCCTCTCTCGCATACATACAATGTACATATAAATCAGCCTGTCACAGCTCGTCTCTTTTCTGACAGCTGTAATTGCTTCGGACTATAAAAATATCTATAGACAATAAACACAACGCGGGAAAACAGCAAAGAGAAAACCAAATCAAGGTTCCTTTAAATAATTCAGTTGCTCCAGCGGCAGTGGAGCCAGCAACTGAGTCCAGCTGTGAAGGTTCAGCAGCGAGAGAAAGAGAGCTTTGTAGCCTCCTCTGGGGATGAGAGAGTCTTTTTTCCTTCATTGGGTTTTGACCACAGCAGCAGCAGAGTTTGCTGCACACGGGCTGAGCCCATCTGAGCACCAAACAGCCTCTCGCTTTCAGATTCTTTCCTTTCTTCCTACTTAGGTGAAAGTCTTGTGTGGGTTTTTTTTTTTTTTTTCTCCCCCCCTCATTGCGAGCAACAGGCAGGAGACAAACAGAGCGAGCCAAGCAGAGCACACTCGAGGTGTATCTTTATCTCCGGATCCATCTCACTGCTCTCCTTTCCAGCAAGGCTAAAGGCCCCCCTCTCCTGGCAGAGACCACAAACAGGGCACAGAAGCAGCAAGGGCTGGACCGGCTGGGAAGTGATGCAGCGGCAAGGATGGAGCCAGGGGAAGGATTTTCCCCGTGGGAGATGGCAGCTGGAGGGGAGGATGCTGAAAGCCTGGGTGGAGAAGGGGTTAGAAGGAGCAAGACCCTGTGGGTTTGCTTCCCAAAGGGGCATCTCTATCGAGAGCTGGGAGGAAGAGGTTCAGAGGCAGAGCAGGGAGCAAATCAGTCCCAAAAATTGGAAGAGTGATTGCTTTTGGATTGCTGCAAGGTACCCCGACTCCTTCTGCAAAGACCCTCCCAGCAAACACCGCCACGGTCTCGGGCTTTTCATACAAAACCAAGCCTTAGGCAGCTAATCTGCAGATCTGAGTGCTCTCAAAGGCCGATCATCAGATGCAAATTTGCAGTTCAAGTTCTTCTATCAAAGGAAATAACAACATTGCTTCATTTTTCCCTGCTTCCTCCAAAGTATCCAGCACTATTCTAATTATTGTAGCTGCTTGCAGGTCCAAGTTAAAGATCCTTCTATCCTACAGACCTGCCTGCAAACCTATATCCATACAATCCTACACCTCCCCACACCAATGGATTTAATTCCTGGAGAACAAAAAAACTACTTCCAATAAGTAGGTCATAGCAAGGCAATTCATGCAGCCAGATTTTCCTTTTAATTCCTTTTTTTCCCTTTTCAGGGAGTTGATAGATGGCAATCTATAGCCCCAGAGTGGAAATTTATTTTTAATCTGAAATGGCCAAATATGATCAGAAACATAATTTATGCTCGAGACACTCTCGTTCCTTCCAAATGAAAACACGATTTTATAACGCCAGCCGTGCTATCGCATACCACATTATTCTCCAATAAGCTCCGAGTTGCACAAAAAGTGCTTAATTTCCTTGGCATTAGTCAGGTGAATGACACACGAGTCCGGAGGAGCTTTTCCTGAATAACTGCTGAGCCTTCCGCGTCTACAGCCATTCACCGAAGCCACAAAGGACGCGGGGCTCCAGCTCCGCTCCCCGCCTCATTTATGCCCTCGTTAGCGGTGGCCCCAATTAAAGAACAATGATTGGGAGCCTTACTTGGCCGGAGCCGCTTGGAGCCCTCCTCGCCCCAAAGGCATTCCCGCTCCGAGCTGGAGAAATCGCCTGTTCAGGGCTGTTTCTAGGGCAGGTTTTGGAATGCAAGCAGCATCCTCATGGGCGCTCAGCCCTCAATCCCTCTCAGGCAGGGACTCCCAGCACCCTCTTCACGGTGTTTAAAAGCAACGCAGGAGACCCCATTAATCCCTGCTAGAGATGCTGTTAATATTTAACTGCAGCTTAGATAAACTTACAGCACCCGTCCTATTAAATTTAAATAAAATGCGCTTTTGGGAGCCTTCCCCTAAAGCCACGCTGCCCTGCTCTGCCTGCACTTTGCACCAAGTGCCTCGCAGTAAAAAAAGGAACATTTTGTTTGCCCTTTAAAACACTGCTGGGCTCGAGTTTGTCGCTTGCTCTCGTCGTGCTCAGGGACTTCGGAATTTTCAAGCATGAATTAACTCCTTCCAGAGCTGCAAAGCCTCAGCCAAGGGGCTGCAGGAGCAGGTGCCCTGGAAAAGGCTGCAAATCTGTCCCAAACTGGCACTGCAAAGCCAGCACAGGACTGATCTCCGTGCACCATCTCACCAGGTAACCCAGAGCATACCCCTGGAGGAAAAGGAAAGCCAAAAATGCCCCACACAGCACTGCCAGCCCTAATACACAGGGGGACACTCAATAGCTCATCACTGGCAGTGTTCAAAGCCAGGCTGGATGGGGCTTGGAGCAATCTGGGCTGGTGGAAGGTGTCCCTGCCCATGGCAGGAGGTGGAACAGGATGAGCTTAAAGGTCCCTTCCAACCCAAACCATCCTGGCATTCTTTGTACATTCCAGAGGGGCCAATGCTGCAGCTTAGAACATAAAATCAAGAGGATGCAAAGCAGCCCTCAAGGCCTTGCTTTTCCCTTTGGTTTAGTCCTTTCTCCCACAGCTCTCCCTCTGTGTCTGGGCCTTTCTCAGCAGCCCAGCCAGGCTGACACCTCTGCAGGTCCAGACTCCATATTAAACATCTGTGCTGAGAGTTAAAAAA